TTTTTGTTACTCTCATTTGGTTGTATCATACTTCAGATCTCACGAATCAATGCATATGAAAATCAGACTCTAATCAATGTGGAAAATATAACCTTTCGGAACACTACGAACTTCCTGAGCTCTAAGGTGAGTTTAACTCTTAGACATTCTCGAGGGTCCACAACACTCCAATACTACAAATAACACATTTCTAAGAAACCTGTGTCTCTTGCAGAGATGTGCCCTGGTATACCATTCTAGAAAGACATTTAGATCCTTTTTGTTGAAGCCAGATAAAATGCCTGTTCCAATTTTCTTGGAAAGCAAAACATTGTGATTGGAGTGTTCCAAATACCAGGCGCCACACTTCTCTTCAGTCTTCATGTCAAAAAATTGCTAATATACAAACCCCAAAATTTCAGTAATTTAATAATAATCTTATATAACTAAAGCAAATATTAATTTTTGATATATCTTATTAATTTTACTTTCTCACTACTTATTTCGCAGAACAGAGAAAGTATTGTAATGCTGCAAGAAGAAAGGTTACTTTTCGACTGAAAAACTCATATTCTGGGACCCTTGTAACGAAAAAGTGGATAAATCTTGTATCCATATGTAGCAAAATTACTTCCTCTAACATATGTGTAGTCAGAATCCCAGTTTCGTGGGATCTTGTAACCAAAAAATCTATTGACGGCAAAACGTCTGTCTATCCGTCTGTTTGTGAATAAACAATGATAGCGGCTAAATTGTAAGGAGAATTATCACCAAAATTTATATTATGCCGTCACTCTGGCTGATGTCATGTCATCTTGAATTTTAATATTTTAAGTATATATACGTTTTCATATTTTAAGTATGAGGGGTACGTTACATTAAGCACTTATGACATTTTCAAAATTTTTTAAAAAAATGGTACCAATTTCTTTTATTAAATGTTTACCTGATTGTAGAGGACGATTAAGACAATGGTACGGGTCTCATTTTCGTTTAATTGCCTTATTTTTTGATAACAAATAACGCTAAAGAAAGTGGGGCATTTTCGGTTCTCTATTTTCGAAAATTGCAAACAAATTCTAATTGGAAAATTCCCATTTCCCGCGCTTTGTTTGACGTTTAGTTTGCTGTCGGTTCGCTAACTGGCAACACGGCGGTTTCAAATTATATTGGGATGCGTCTCATTGCAACCGATCGTGATGATCATATGATATTTAAGGAAGGAAATACATTAATGAAGAACTAACAAATAAATTTATTTTATTTTAGAAGTTTTGATCTTTGATCATGTTATTCATGGGTCGTTAGCTCAGTTCGATGTAATCAAGGCTAGCTTGTGTGATATTCTTTAATCGAGACTGTCTGGAACGTTGCTCATTGTTGTACACTCTGAATCCAAAACGGATATTTTGATTTTTTTACATGAAGCTTTAACATTTTCAAACTTTTTCAAAAGTCACTCCAAATTTTTGTATTAAACTTCGTTCTCAGACACTTGATACCGATAACGACGCTTCAAAGGTTGGCGTAAGTCTGATTTTCGTTGCTCTTTCTGAACTTTCGAAACTTGGAATTTTAGAGATATGCGAGAAAGTATGGGCTGTCGGAGCACCACTAGATAACTACTGCAGCAGTACGAGGGTAACTATCCTTGGCCTTACTGATTTTGCTCTATTAATGTTTGATGTTTTAAATTTGCGTAATTAGATGGACTCCACGTCACCAAATCTTTAACATGATCCACCACGTCATTCAAAGTCGGTGAATATCAAAAGAAGTATCATAACTTCACAATATGATATGTAATTATGAATCAAAAGTTTTTGTACTCTATATCACAAAACCAGAATTATTTTATTGCGTGTTTATGCGTGTGAGTGTGACGATTTGAACAGATCTGTACAGAGTAAAATTACTGTAATATGGAAGATGAAACGCAAGGAAGATATCCATGGGATATTTTTTAATTTTGAACCCGTGAGAACTAGCTACAAGCCACTTAGCCCGATTACCCTAGGTTTCATACCAGAGATGGTTTTACTCGCAAAAGGCGGGATCGTGCAATTGAAATGTATCCTCACATCATTCGTGTTACATTAAGGCACCGACAAGCTGTCATCGGATTCGCCGGAACGCTGCCCCGTAACGTCCACCTCCTTAATGCTTGCCGAGGGCAGCCTTGCGAGCTTAGAGAAAACAAATTTGCGGTTTGGTACCGGAGTCAATTAGCAACATTCACAATGTCTCGGGACAAGACCCTTCTCAATTCCCCATGCGTTGTGGTTATATGCCTTGGCGATGTTAAGAACCCATCCGGTCTAAATCCGAATCGGATATCATACTTCCTCTCCAGGTCTACTATGTGTGGAACTATGACTCAAGAACGCAACCATAATCTCATCCTGGGAGGGGGGGGGGACATACATTTTGTAATTCTCGCATTTTCACACATTCGACATCTCGTCCTCCCAACATTCTCACCCAAGCTGCAGAGAACCGTGTCGCCGATCAGTCATTGAGGAAGTGTACACGGGAAGAAAAGTAGAGTGAAATGACTGTTGGTTCGGAACGTAGATGTATCATAAAACTATGCAAATTGTACATTTCTGTAAAGAAGTTGCACTTAATGTGTATCTCATGCTTAAAATGATAATAATAATAATAATAATAATAATAATAATAATAATGTTAACGTCACACACTATCATTCCCAATTTCATAGGCGTGTGCGATCCTATCTTCATCTTTGTCAAATTCTCTCTTTTTACACACACACTCGCTCACACACACTCGCTCACACACACTCGCTCACACACTCGCTCAC